CACACTCACACACTCACACACTTCCTGGTTTTATTTTTTCTCGCTCCCGCTAGGGCACCGCTGAGCCGCGGCGGCGGTGGTTGCAGTAGGGGCAGTCGCCACATCTGGGGGAAACTTAAGGTGGTCACGTAGGTTTTCCCGAAATTGCGGTGCAGAACAGCTTGCGGCTTCCCGGGGCAGCCGCAGGGCACCTAATGGCTAAACCTCTCCAGTCTCAGGGGAGCTGGAGGCGGCGGGGAACCGGCAAAGGAGGAGGTGCCGATTAGAGCTAGGCAGCTCAGCCGTGCGGAGAGTTCCCTGGCGCTTTCGGCCCATACTAGGAATACCAGGATGGGGGAGGGGGGTTACAAAAGCGCCCCAGCGGCTTGGAAGCGAGCCCCGACGGGGGAGGCGGGGCGGCTGGAACAGTGCCTGCAGAGAGGGAAGACGCCCCCGAACCCTCCCTCTCCTGGTCCCTGCCTCTTTCAGCCCCGCGGGAGAAGCCCTCAAAGGCCCGCCCAGCTATGGCTGAGGGACCCGCAAGGGGGTTCGCTCCTGGGAGAAGCGTCGTTTCCTTTGCTAGAAAGCGCCTTGCGCCCTCAGCGTGGCGGGTGGATTGTCTTGCTAAGCGGAGTTGGCGGCGACTTGGAGGGCTGTGGGGGTGCGACACGTTCCCACAGCCCGCCAGGGCCCCTCTACTCGGAGGGCTGGACTAGCACACTTAATGCTTAGCGGAGCTACTCTACCCCATCTCCTCTCCATGTTTTGTCTGTCCCTCTTGGCTTTCAGGTGGAGGCCGTGAGAACCCTTGTGCTTTAGAGGAGGGTCGATTTATTTTCCTAAAACTCGTGGAAAGGTAGCAGTTGGTGGGCACCGAGGAGTGTCGAAAGTATTAGAGTTGGCAAAAGGTAGATTGGAGCATCTTTCTGCAGAAGGCGCACCTGTTGCCCACTGCTCGGCTACATTGTGTGCAAAATGAAAGCGGATGAGACGCCTCACTCGGACTTTTGGGGTCCCTGAAGGGCTGGGTCACTGCCTACCTCCTCCCTTCCTCTCTACTCTTTTCCCCATGCACACGTCCTCATTTGCACGTGGGCACTGAAAGGAAAGAAAGGAACACAGAAATAGCCCCTACCTAGTCCCTTTCACCTTGGACTCGTGTGTGTGTGTGTGTGTGTGTGTGTGTGTGTGTGTGTGTGTGTGTGAGAGAGAGAGAGAGAGAGAGAGAGAGAGAGAGAGAGAGAGAGAGACGCTATGCCAGGGGAGGAGGAGGTGGCCAGGGACAGGAAAAGGGAGCAGAGGGAGATGCACCGGGCTAGGGAAATCCCACCCCAATTGCCCGAGCCCTCTGAGCGTCTCGTGTCATCAGACATGTGTACGCGATTCCGCTAATGGGGTGACGATTGTGGGTGAGTGAGGTTAGGGCACTGCCAGGCACACCCCATCCCATGCGATTCCAGGTGCTGGTTACCTGGCCCACGCAAGGGTTCCCTTTCCCCCCTCTTTTGTTGCACCCTCCCCCACGTGTGAGCGGCGGGGCAGCAGAGGTGGCGCACGGGTTTGGGGAGGTGGGTGAGATGTAGCGCCTCTGTGGGCAGTGCGGACCTGAGTGGAGAGGTCACACCTCTTTCGGAAAAAAAAAAGAAAGAAAGAAAAAAAGAAAAACCAAGCTAGCTACCAAGGTGAACCCAGAGCGGTTCCCACCTTAAAATCGGCCCTGCTCGTGACGTCAGGTCGGAAATATACCAAAGCGAGCGCCGGCCAGGAGTCTGGGGAGAGCGGCGGCGCGGCGATTGGGCGACAGGCTGCTGACGCGCGCTGACGCGCGGAGACTTTAGGTGCATGTTGGCAGCTGCAGTGCGAGCCACATAAACAAAGGCACATTGGCGGCCAGGGCCAGTCCGGCGGCTAGCTCAACTCCGCGGTCCCGCTCGCCAGCCCAGCTGGCCGCCTTCCCCTGCTCCCTCCCAGCTCTCGGCGTCTCGGGTCCCTTCGCCCCTCTCGCCCACCCCTCCCCGACCCTGCACCCCGACTCCCAGAGGGAACTACACTTCGGCGGAGTTGAATGAATGAAGAGAGACGCGGTGAACTCCTAAGTGAGTAGTGCAGTCCGTGCAGCTCGCGTTCTTTTTCTTTTTCTTTTTCTTTTTTTTATCCTTCTTTCTTGTTTTGCACGTCTCTTCTTTCCATATGTGTGGTACAGGTTCTCTGGAAGTGGGCGCCAGAGGCGCGGAGCGCAAGTGGGGCCGGAGGATGGGGAGTAGGTGCTCGCAGCTACAGAGGGCATTTGTCCGTATCCCAGCTTTGGCTCTAGCGGAGAGTTGGCTCCCAACATAGGCTTCCACGCTCCTCATTGGTGGACGTGGAAGGGAGGCTTGCATAGTTCGGGGAGCTGCGGACCTGCCCGGAGAAATGTGCGCAAAGTTTGCTCTTAGTGCGGAATTCATTGTGGCCTTTGGACACAGAGACTCAAAGTCCTGTGTGTAAGAGGGGCCTGGACGTTGCCCACAAAGTAAGAGGGAGAGAGAAAGTTCTTCACTTTATGTGTTGCTTGGGAACTGTGTCACTGTGGCTGGCCAGCATGCCAGCGTTTCCTGGCTATTGTTGAGTAAGGGGGGGGGGTAGAGTGTCCTGTTACTAAGTTGCCTGAAATTTCTGGTTTTGACTTATGCCGCGCTTGTGTATGTGAGTGTGTTGGACAGAAACAGGCAGAATATATAAAGACTACAGTTATGAAGCTGTGAAGTTACCAGGGGGTTAATATCTAGCACAGGCATATCTCTCAAGGGCCGGGAAGAAGGGGGGGGGTGTCATCAAGAGTCTCCTTTCTTTCTACTTTTTCTAGTTAACCTCCCTCCCCCGTGAAGCAAGATTCTGGAGGGGGGCATAAGGAGAACAGAAGGAGTGGATGTTTGGCTTTCTTTTCTCACTAGTAGTAAGATTGTCTATGCTGTAGAATGCCTTCCAAGTGGGACCATCTGAAAATTACTAGGATACAAGAATGCCTTGTTCCAGCAAGTAGGCAGACTATGGAAGGCTGTATAGGGATGGTGTTCAGTTTACTAGGTTGGGAAGCGCTTCTAACATTGATGCCAATACTAGATAGATAAGCAGCATTGTCCTCCCTCTGCAGTTGACCTAAGATGCTCCTGGAAAAGTAGGGTCCCCCTGTTTCCACGCCTTGGACATTAAAGGTGTTGAAAGATAAGCTTCCTGGAGAAGCGAATGCCAGTTCACTTGTATCCCTAATCCTAGTGCCCTGTCAAAAGCACTTAGGAAAGCCAGACGCTTTCAATCAGATTGCCTTCGGGGCTGCCCAGGCCTTGCTAACATTTTGGAGCTCATAGGGGTGGAGGGGGAAATTGTTTTTCATTTTATATTCTTGACTTCTACTTTTTTCCCTCCTCCCAAAAGAAAAACCAATTTCACCACAGGAGAAAAAAAAAAAAGAGAGAAGTTTCCAATGCTATATTTTATTAAACCCTAGTTTTTTCTTATTCGGGTCTGAATTAAACTAAAATGGAAATGACGCTCCCCTCCCACCACTCCAAACACCCTAGCAAAAGGGCTAATTTATTACCTCATAAGTATTACATAAGTCCATGGAATACTTTTGCTCCTTCAGAAACCTCTCTCTGCAAGGATTTACAGAGTGCAATGGGTGGCATTTTCTGTTGTTTCCCGCCATCTATTACACTTTCATCTCGACTGCTAAGTTTGGTGAAGGATGCACACAAATTTCCAATGGAACAATCACAGAGGGCATAGAAGGGCCTGCCTGGTGAGTCCACAGATAGAAGCCTGGCGGAATCTGTCCGGAAAATCACCCTGAAGCTTTCTGTGTCTGTATTTCAGGGAGGAGATCTGACAGGCTGGACTTCCCATTGCTTTTCTAAAAATCTTGGAAACTTTGTCCTTCATTGAATTACGACACTGTCCACCTTTAATTTCCTCGAAAACGCCAGTAACTCGGCTGAAGGTTAGTGTAACTTGATTTCTTTCTTTCCCTCCCGGGAGTTCCCTAAATATCAAGACACAGGGCTACCGCGATCTTCCTCAGCAAACCCTGTAACTTAAGGTTTTCCCGGCCCATCGCCTTTGGGAACAACTTTCTCATTGGGCAATTCAACTTCGTTTCTAGTATGAGCTTGCTGAACCCCAGCTTCAGAAGAAAGGTTCATTTTAGCGGGATTGTTCATAAAAGGGGGTGAAGGGGGAGGCATTTGGAAATATGCGGGAGTGGAGACCCTCAGTAGCTTTCTAGCTTTAGGTCCTCGTTTGATCAGCCTTTCCGTGCCCTGCACTGTTTTGCTCCGCAGCATTCGCTCTCCGCCCTTCCTATCGCGCCCCTAACAGCTCTCTCTGATCGCCGCAAGCTGCTGGTGTAGCTCCAGGTGCACCCGAGCCCGGGAGAAAGTGTTCAGTTGACCAGGCTGAGTGTATATTACCCTGTTTCATTTCCAGCCATGCCTTGTGTTCAGGCGCAGTATGGGTCCTCGCCTCAAGGAGCCAGCCCCGCTTCTCAGAACTACAGTTACCACTCTTCGGGAGAATACAGCTCCGATTTCTTAACTCCAGAGTTTGTCAAGTTTAGCATGGACCTCACCAACACTGAAATCACTGCCACCACTTCTCTCCCCAGCTTCAGTACCTTTATGGACAACTACAGCACAGGCTACGACGTCAAGCCACCTTGCTTGTACCAAATGCCCCTGTCCGGACAGCAGTCCTCCATTAAAGTAGAAGACATTCAGATGCACAACTACCAGCAACACAGCCACCTGCCCCCCCAGTCCGAGGAGATGATGCCGCACTCCGGGTCGGTTTACTACAAGCCCTCCTCGCCCCCGACGCCTACCACCCCGGGCTTCCAGGTGCAGCACAGCCCCATGTGGGACGACCCAGGCTCCCTCCACAACTTCCACCAGAACTACGTGGCCACCACGCACATGATCGAGCAGAGGAAAACGCCAGTCTCCCGCCTCTCCCTCTTCTCCTTTAAGCAGTCGCCCCCCGGCACCCCGGTGTCCAGCTGCCAGATGCGCTTCGACGGGCCCCTGCACGTCCCCATGAACCCGGAGCCGGCGGGCAGCCACCACGTGGTGGACGGGCAGACCTTCGCTGTGCCCAACCCCATCCGAAAGCCCGCGTCCATGGGCTTCCCCGGCCTGCAGATTGGCCACGCGTCGCAGCTGCTCGACACACAGGTGCCCTCGCCGCCGTCGCGGGGCTCTCCCTCCAACGAGGGGCTGTGCGCCGTGTGCGGCGACAACGCGGCCTGCCAGCACTACGGCGTGCGCACCTGTGAGGGCTGCAAAGGTTTCTTTAAGGTGAGCAGGGTCGGGGGCAGAGGAGGCAGGTAGGGGCCCCCTAGTGTCCGGAGCCTCGGCGAGCGCGCTCTGCCTAGGTGTAGGCAGCCCAGCCCCAGCTGGTTCCGGGCTGTCCAACTCCCGGGGTCCGCACAGGTTGCTCTGCAGCCACCCACGGGCTGCAGCGCAGGCATCCGTGTGCCTGAGAAAGGGAAGTAGGAAGACCGGGAGACTCGGGGTCGCATCCCCCGCACGTAGCCGACCCGACAGGCCCCCGCCCCAAGTTGCTGCAGCGGGAGTTGGAAGACGGTCATTTGCATGTGCTCGGAGCTGTCTTCTCTGTTCAGATTGAAATTGGTTAGGACAGAGAACCGTGTCTGAGCTAACCAAGTGGAACAGAATTCCCTATGGTCAAATTAAGTGATCTCTTTATTTCGCCATCCTGATTGAATAATCTTATCATTTTAAATAGAGAAGGTCTCCAAGGAATGTAAATAATATGAATGTCCACGGATTTGTATTTACTGAGCGTTTCCTTCTCCTTCTCTTGGCATATAAAACACAGCAAGGAGCAGCAAGGTTAGCTCAAATGTTAACGCTATCAATTTTCTTCTGTAACATGCCCTGGGGAGAGGAAAAAGAAAAGAAAGAGAAAGAAAAGGAAAAGGAAAAAAAAATTAAAAGGAGTTGTGTGTGTGTGTTTGTGGGGAGAGAGTGTCGACCCCAGCCTTTAGAAATTGTCCCTGGAGTCCCTGGGTTGCTGGATTTTAAAGAGGAAAATAATTTTCGGCCTCTATTGTCTCCTTTTGCAGCGCACGGTGCAAAAAAACGCAAAATACGTATGTTTAGCCAATAAAAACTGCCCAGTGGACAAGCGGCGCCGGAATCGCTGTCAGTACTGCCGGTTTCAGAAGTGCCTGGCTGTTGGGATGGTGAAAGAAGGTAGGTCGGGGCATACAGCCGGCTCCGCAGTCTGTGCCCTTGTGAAACTGCTGTTCCTACCCCAACCTCACTTTCCACTACCAGAGCCAGGGGGTGGGGGTTCCGAGTCCTCCCAACCCATGTCCGGCCTCCACGACCCAGTAGCTAGCTGCCTGCTTGCCCATCCAGCTCTAGAGAAAGCCGCCAGGCTCTTCTCCTCTTTAACTATATGACCCATTTGAAAGAAGACATAAAACAACCCCGCATTTTTTATGCTTTTCGACAGTAAAGGTTTTACAAGCAGTGGGGCCCTGTGCCGCCCGGCCAGGCGCCCCGCGGCTGCGGCCTTCCCCCGGGAGGGGCAGCGGTAGCAGCTGGGTCCCGCTAGCAGAAGCCGTGCTAACCCAGCTCTTTCTTTGCAGTGGTTCGCACGGACAGTTTAAAAGGCCGGAGAGGTCGTTTACCCTCGAAACCGAAGAGCCCACAGGAGCCCTCTCCCCCCTCGCCCCCGGTGAGTCTGATCAGTGCCCTCGTCAGGGCCCATGTCGACTCCAACCCGGCTATGACCAGCCTGGACTATTCCAGGGTAAGAAGCTGGCGGGGGTATCATGTGGACAAACCGACGGATGGGCAGGACCCCTCTCCCCACACCCATCACTAACCCCCAGACTCAAGGGATAAAGGAGGCAAGCAAGGCTGTGGCTTCACAGCTCTGGGCAGAGCCACAGGAGAGAGACAGATTGACAGACAAACTGTGTTGCTGGGGGTTATGGACGTCAAGACAGGGCAGAGGAAGGAAGAGAAATTAGGCCACGGTGGTCAAAATCTCTGCGAGCGCCCTTCCCACTACCACCATACACACACACATGCTCATACACTGATGCCTCTGATGCCAAAACCAGAGGCCGTGCAAAAGGCCTCCACTTGGATTTCATCCCTAATCTTACACAGAAACGCTTTAATCCTCATCCTGCCTGGCACTGTCAGGGTGGGGGCTTGCTTGGGGGTCTGGGAAGGGGAAGAGAGAGGGTATGAGGAATGGCAGTACGGTGGAGGATCAAGTAGAGTTCTCTTTTGCCCCAGCTGTGAGAAATGTGTGGGCTTTAATTGGAAGTATGTCGGGCAAACCTAGAAGTCACTGCAATTTTATTAAGATTTGCAAAGGGCGTCTCTGCTCGAGACCCACTCTGGGACTGGCATGAATACTAACGTGTCAATTGTTTTGTGGAGATAAGAGTGAACGTTTCCCAGGGCTGGATGGCACTGTATTTAGTCTGTATGGAATTGGTAATTTACATATTTAAAGCAGCGACCTCATAGCACCATCCCTAATTGAATTAATTGCCCCGGAACATCTAATTTCCTTACTGGTCAGAGAGAGATTTAATTGTTATAAAAACCTGGCTCCCCTACTAGAAACGGGGTTAGCAATTTCACGGGTTATATATTTTAGAGAACCTCATTAAGTGCTTTTAAAAATGAAATTCCAGTTCCAGGCGAACCCTGACTATCAGATGAGTGGAGATGACACCCAGCATATCCAACAATTCTATGATCTTCTGACTGGCTCCATGGAGATCATCAGGGGCTGGGCCGAGAAGATCCCCGGCTTCGCTGACCTGCCCAAAGCCGACCAGGACCTTCTTTTTGAATCGGCTTTTTTAGAACTGTTTGTGCTGCGATTAGCATACAGGTAACAGAGGAGGCAATCAGGGAGGCTGGGAAAGGAGGAAGGGAGAAATCAACAAGAGAAAAGAAAAAGGAAACAAAAGGGGGGGAAGAGAAAAAGAATAGGAAATGAAAGGGGTTAAAAGGAAGGAAAGGAGAGTAGACCAAAGGTAGAGAAGGGAAGGAGTGAGCCCAGAAGCCTTGGGTAAATGGAATGGAGGTGGGATAGGGGGCGGTCTTGATATGAAATTAAACCCTTTCAAGGTCCACTGGTCTACATTTTATTAACTCTTCGGTAATTAGGTGCCTCTTAAATCCCTCATTTATTGCTCTTCAAGTAATTAGTTGTTTAGCTTTCTCTCTCTCTTTTTCTCCCCTCTCTCTCTTTGGTATTAATTGCAGGTCCAACCCAGTGGAGGGTAAACTCATCTTTTGCAATGGGGTGGTCTTGCACAGGTTGCAATGCGTTCGTGGCTTTGGGGAATGGATTGATTCCATTGTTGAATTCTCATCCAACTTGCAGAATATGAACATCGACATTTCTGCCTTCTCCTGCATTGCTGCCCTGGCTATGGTCACAGGTCAGTACCACAGGTGCGGGGCACTTCTTCAGAACTGCCCAGCAGGCTCATCCCGGTCTTCCCTTGCCATCGATCCTCCTTGGTCTTGTCAGCTAGCTAACGGCCTGTGTATTCCTCTTTTGTTTCTGATTGTTTTCTGCAGAGAGACACGGGCTCAAGGAACCCAAGAGAGTGGAAGAACTGCAAAACAAGATTGTAAATTGTCTCAAAGACCACGTGACTTTCAATAATGGGGGATTGAACCGCCCCAACTATTTATCCAAACTGTTGGGGAAGCTCCCAGAACTCCGTACCCTTTGCACACAGGGGCTACAGCGCATTTTCTACCTGAAACTGGAAGACTTGGTACCACCGCCAGCAATAATTGACAAACTTTTTTTGGACACTTTACCTTTCTAAGATCTCCTCTCATGCACTTCAAAGGAACTGGAAAGAAACCTAAAACTATCCAGAGGGGGCAAGTCACAAGGGCAGAGATACCCCCCCTGAGCTGCCTCAGCTCTAGCTGGCCCCCCTCCCCTTCGATAAACCCCCCAGCCCCTTGATCCCTAAAGAAAAACAAAACAAAACAAAAAACTGTTGCTATTTCCTAACCTGCAGGCAGAACCTGAAAGGGCATTTTGGCTCGGGGGATCCTGGATTTAGAACACGGACTACACACAATACAGTGGTATAAACTTTTTATTATCAGCTTAAAAATCAGTTTAATGTTCAGAAGAAAGATTCCTAATGTATGATGGGAAATGTTTGGCCACGTTTGGTTGTTGCAGTTAAGACAAATGTAATGCACACACACACACACACACACACACACACACACACACACACACACACACACTAAGGGGACCCACAAGTATTGCCCTTTAAAAGACTTCAAAGTTTTCTGCTGTAAAGAAAGCTGTAATATATAGTAAAACTAAATGTTGCGTGGGTGGCATGAGTTGAAGAAGGCAAAGGCTTGTAAATTTACCCAATGCAGTTTGGCTTTTTAAATTATTTTGTGCCTATTTATGAATAAATATTACAAATTCTAAAAGATAAGTGTGTTTGCAAAAAAAATAATAATAATAACTACACAAAAAAGGGACCAGCATGTTGATTCTAGGTTGAAAATGTTATAGGCACTTGCTACTTCAGTAATGTCTATATTATATAAATAGTATTTCAGACACTATGTAGTCTGTTAGATTTTATAAAGATTGGTAGTTATCTGAGCTTAAACATTTTCTCAATTGTAATATAGGTGGGCACAAGTATTACACATCAGAAAATCCTGACAAAAGGGACACATAGTGTTTGTAACACCGTCCAACATTCCTTGTTTGTAAGTGTTGTATGTACCGTTGATGTTGATAAAAGAAAGTTTATATCTTGATTATTTTGTTGTCTAAAGCTAAACAAAACTTGCATGCAGCAGCTTTTGACTGTTTCCAGAGTGCTTATAATATACATAACTCCCTGGAAATTACTGAGCACTTTGAATTTTTTTAATGTCTAAAATTGTCAGTTAATATATTATTTTATGTTTGAGTAAGAATTTTAATATTGCCATATTCTGTAGTATTTTTCTTTGTATATTTCCAGTATGGCACATGATATAAGTCACTGCCTTTTTTTCTATGGTGTATGACAGTTAGAGACGCTGATTTTTTTTCTGATAAATTCTTTCTTTGAGAAAGACAATTTTAATGTTTACAACAATAAACTATGTAAATAAACAGAATTTTGTCTTCTTTCTGGGTCAGGAAAAAAATGATGACTAAACAGCAATATACAATAGACAGAGTTGGAGATGGATTTGGGATGTCCCTCATTCAACATCTGAATTTCAAATGGACTAGACCTATTCTGACAAAAGGAACTGGGGAATTGAACTAATTTCCAGAGAATTCAGTTCAATATTTTTTTCTTAACCAGAGTTTTCCAGTGTGTAGCAACCTACATTTATCATAATCATTTGACAAGATCTCACCTCTTCTGTTAATTTTGCCAGTAAGTGCTGCTTTCAGAAGAGAAATTCAGGAGCCTAAAAGCTTTTGAACTTTTGCAGGTCCAAAAGTCCTGTCAAGTTTTTGTCTTGCCCAATGTTTAGGAAATACCTTTTTAAGACTCAGGAAGTCAACAGGGATGTGAAGTGTGTTGTACTTAATCTCAGCTTCTTCCAATTCCTCTACTTAATACTGTTGTACAGGGTCTTGGAGGAAGGACCAAGCATTTCAGGCCCTTTGGGCCTTGAGTCAGGACTCTTTGGTATGGAGCAGAACTCAGTAGTGGCATTTCTTACAACTTTTTTCTTCCTTTGGTGGATAGTGATGAGGTTCAATTTGTAGTTTTAGAATAATATTTTGCCTTAAAAGTTTCTCAGATAAACAATAAAATATCCATTTGTCAGGTCCTGGATCTGGTATAAGTAAGTTATACTACAGCTTCTAGAATTCCACCCAGCACCAACTTTTAGCCAGAAAGTAACATAACGCTGTAGAAGGCGCTTAAGGTTTGAGCTGCCTGGCAGAGCCCTGGCCCTTGGGCGGTGGGAGGTCCAGTGAGCTTCACTTCAGAACCGCTATGAATTTACAGAGAGCGGAACAGGGGGCTTCTTCGCTGACCCTGGTGAATTACGGACCGCCTCCCGTCACTGACATTTACAGTGTTATAGTTTTTAACATGCAGAGTTAGGACAGTAAGTCGCCACGAGAGTTCTGGGGTTATTTTTACTATGCCTTTCCCCCCTCATTTAAAAAAGGCATGTTTTGCGAATTCGGGGGGAAAAAGAAGGCAGGTTTCGGTGGTGATTTAGGTTATTTTTACGAGATGCGTTTCTCTGCAGGTAACCTTGAAGGATAAAAGTGAGTGGCTATAAAAAAAGATTAAATAATAAGCGAAATGTTCAATGCCTTGGCTTTTTCGAAAAGATGAGGCTTGCCTTTTTTATTTTCATAACTTCTGCCCAACCAAAGCTGCCCACTAATAAGCAGAGAGAAAGAGAAAGCTCTTTAGAAATGCTGGAAGTCTGCAGAGCCGTCAGCGCTCGTCTCCCAGGTGTCTGCAGCCCCGAGACAATTACATTCCAACTCCGAATCCCCGAGAGTTGAACCCAGAAACGAACTCTGTTGCGGGTTCTCCCTTAAGGAAGCGGCAGCTCATCACCCGAGGCCAATGGGGTGTCAGGGAGTGCGTCTCCCGAGAATTTGGGGTGAAAGGGGGGAGGGATGCCCATGTGCAGACTGCACCGCCTCCACGTACATTCAGTTGTAATATCTAAGTTGCAAAGTGGCTAGGGCTCTTTCTGCTTCACAGTTGCCGAGTCGTTTTCCAACTCCCAACTGCTCCTCCGGGTTGTGAAGGAAAAGGGCCTCGCACGCATCTCTCCCCTGGATCTTCCGAGATCCGCGCAGCTGTGGACTTTTCCTGTCTTAGCCTTTCTACGGGTAAAGCCCAGGAAAAGCAACGGACACGCTGTGTTGCAAAAGCCAGACGTTGCATGGAACTTCTTTAGAAAGAGATTAAAACTTTATTATGGGGGCTTCATATCTCAATTCTCTCCCCAAGTCCTCGTAAGAATTTCAGTTAATATGTTTCGTTCTAGGTATTGAAAATACATAATCATACACTTCTCAGCTCTGAGAGATCCAATTTTAAGTCTTAACGGTGTCTCGACGGTATCTGGACCCACTTTGAGTGGTTTAGAACACCCTGACTTTATGGAGAGATGCCCTTAATTCAAAGCACAGGTGAATTGCGCTGTTGCCTGCTACTGTTGGGTTCCTCTTCTCCAATGTCCCGGTGACCGCTGGTCTCTCTAGGTGCACGGGCGGCCCTCTCTCTGACCTTCCGCTTGGGGTTGTGTGTGTGTGTGGGG